TCCAAACTTTCTCTGAGATATCAAAGTTCAAAGGAACTAAAGGTGATTGATTAATCAAATACATTGCAGTGTTGACTGCTTCGCCCCAAAATTGCTTAGGTAAAGTTGCCATTCTTAGCATGCATCGGACTTTCTCCACAATGGTATAGTTCATCTGTTCTGCAATGCCATTGTGTTGTGAAGTGCCAAGAACCATCTTTTCATGCCTTATGCCATGCTTTGAATAGTAGTATTGGAATTCTTTAGAGGTGTACTCCCTTCCATTATCTACATGATAATGCTGGAAATAATTGAATACTTGGCTTTTATTCTACAACAAATATACCGAGTCTTTTGAGTCACATCATGAATAAAAGTAACAAAATATTTATTGCCACCAATGACTCCACCTACGAGTGACCACAAACATCAGAGTAGACCAAGTCTAGCTTGTTCTCATTCTAAGTCAAATTTTTTTGAAAAGAAACTTCGCATTACTTTCCCAATAGGCAATCATAAGGATCCACATGTTCACCTTCGCTAGTGGGAATAAAAGACTGCTTGGCCAAAAGTTGTAATCCTTTCCCACTCATATGAGCTAATCTTCTATGCCATATATTTGGAGAAGCATCATCTTCAACTGTATTCAGTTGATCTCCATACATTTTCATGTGTGTCTTGTATAATGAGCAACATGCTCTTCCTTTTACCACCACCATCGATCCTTTAGTGAGTCTTCAGCTACCATTTCTAAAGTAGTATATGTATCCTTCTTCATCCAGTGCTTTTGCAAATAATAGGTTCATACGTATATCAGGAATATGTTGCACATTTTTCAATGTCAATGTGCACCCAACATTGGTATAGACACAGATATCACCAATTCCCATAATATGAGAAACACTCTTGTTTCCCATTTTTATGGTGCCAAAGTCTTTTGTTTGTATGTTGAAAAATGTTCCCTCTTGGGAATACAGTGATAAGAGGCGCTAAAATCAATTATCCACTAGTCATTTGAGTCTTCTATAGGGCAGCACTCACCACGATCACATAATAAAGTCACGTCACCGCCACTAGTAAATGCTATAATGATAGTATTGCTATCATCAACTTCTTTCTTATCTTTCCTTTCAACGAGTTGCAATTTCTTCTCATGTGGCCTAGCTTGCCATAGTGATAGCATTGCACTCTACTTCTAGACTTGGATCTAGATTTGCCTCGTCTTTTGGGTTTTCTAGTTTTACTCTTGCCCATGTTCTTTGTGACAAGAGCTTGAGTGTTTGATCACAAGAAGATTCTTAGTGCTCACATCCTCTTTTCCTCTTCTAGGATCTTGTTTTTGGTAATTTCTAAT